CTAATAGCTCAGCATTACTCAACCATCACGACAAAACGGTCCTTTTGAAAATTTAGTCGATTGCTGAATTTATGTATGGTCCCAAATTAGGGGCATTTAGGCTGACATTACATCCATTTCCCCTACCATATATTTTTAAGACAACATTGGCAGTGCAATTTCAGAATCCAAAATCGGTCGCGGCATGAAAGTGGTCTGATTTTGATTCAGAGATGATGGATTTTAATTCTGAATATGCAAATCGATAGGAAATTTTTCTGCGAATCTGTTAAAATTAAGGATTTATCTAAAGAGGGAGGAGCAGGATCAGTAATTTCCTTTTAATTCCACTACCTTATTTGCTTATCCTTGACAGATACCTACGCGTATTTCGTCTACAATGTGCAGACTTCTTCAGTGTTTTGTACTAATACTCGAATACTAATAATCGAGTATTAGTAAAGATACTGAAGAAGTCTGCACATTGTAGACGAAATACGCGTATCTGTCAAGGATAAGCAAATAAGGTAGTGGAATTAAATAGGAATTACTAATCCTTCTCTCTCTCTTTATACAGGTATTCCACTAAGACGGCCACATTCATCAGGAAGGATTTATCATTTTTCAAAATGTCACTATTGAAAATTGTACAAATGTGCAAGTGTTGCTATGATCATAAAATGGTCACCGATTGCCTGCGAAAAGCGCTTTCCCTAACACAGATTTCAAAATTGAATTCCATCCGGTTTCAACAAACGCTGTTCATTCAATCACCGCGTGTGGTGAGTGTTGGTGTTCTCCAGTACACAACGAAAGGCTCCCCGCAAGCAGCTAGCTATCAAGGCTGCACTCAACTGCTGATCGGATTTAGTTGCTAGTCGTGAATCTGTGATTGATGTGTTTTGCTACAGCATTGTTCTAAACTGGCTTCCAACCCATCAGGACCACAAATGACTGATAAAAGAGTTAACTAAAGAGTAAGAGCTTGTATCCAAGACATACCGTTTAGGATTGGCTTGTACTACATGGAGCACCTCACAAACAGAATTCTCAAATTGCATCCGAATTTCAACCTATTAATCTTTTTCTCTGATAACGAGTTAAGAAATCAATTTAATATATACTAGGGGAAATGCTCCTATAGTTGCGGTACGTTAGAAGTGTTAGGTTCCTATAGTTGTGCATGGAGACTCAATACACAGCTATATGAGCCTAACGCTTCTAATGTACCGCAACTATGGGAGCGTTTACCCTATACTTTTACTGTGACATCACAGCTACCTTTCGTAATCCTACGTCAAATCTACGGTCGTGTCTTGGATACGACCTCTTACTTTTTTCATTAATATAACTCCGTAAAATTATGTATGAAGCTTTTGTAGGCTTTAATATTAGCTACAACTTTTGTCAATAACTCATATCTGTATCTCTTATGCATGATGAATCAGAATGAACAGAATCACCATTGTTTTTCAGTAAATGCAAATTTCACTCACTGAAAATCTATAACAAGTTTCAGTAAATGCAAATTTCACTCACTGAAAATCAATAAAAAGTTAGAGGCATATGAATGTAAGTGAATGCACAAAATGAATGTAAATGATGCCTGGTCTTGTGTATATCTTCCTCCTCCAGAGGTATTTGATGGTAGGCTCTTTTCAAATCCAAGGTTGTGAATATACACTTTGAGATTTTGTTTTCGTGTTCGGTAAATTTTACCGAAATCAAAACAGCTGAACGTTCGGTAAAACTTTGACCTTCATTTTATAAGCTAATGAATTTGAAAATAGTTTAAAAACATGTTCAACCTTGTTTAAATGATCAAATCTGGTCATTTTAGTGAAGATTCAGTTTCAAAGTAGCTGGAAAGCAATAGCATTGAACTGCATAAATTTTACCGAACAGTTCAGCTGTTCAGATTTCGATAAAAATTACCGAAGTCGGCGATAATTTTTAAGTGTGTACATTTTCCCTGGAAGGCGTTAAGCAAGTCATGAATATGAGGAACGGCAGTCACTTTATTTAGCGCTCGATAATCTCCTACACATTTTAATTCACCAGTTTTTATTTCGGAACGCAGTGAAGTAGACTTGCCCATTACTTGGAACTCTTTCTTTGCATCACTCAGCTTATCCGGAGCCATTCGACGAAATTTGTTTGCTACCGGCGGCCCTTTCGTCTTTATGTGATGAGTAACTTTGTGTTGCACTGTAGGTTTGATCATTGTCGATAGGGTTCCTTAAATTCTGGGAACGCTGTGAACGGATGCATCGATAAAACCTCCCGTCGACGATAGTCAAAGTAGTCCCAAATCGGTTGAGACCTATCGCTTATCGTACATTTTAATTATTGACCCGTTTGCTGCATGTACACTTCCGGTGGAACCAGGGTTGCTTCCACTCACTTACTATAAAAAAATATTTTTCGGAATTATGCAATCATTAGATGTTATAATGATATGTTGTACTTGTAAGTAACAAGAAGAGGGTGTAAAGTATGTGTTTGACTGATAAAACCTGCAATTCCGCTTTCAGAATTTTTTGAATTAATTTCAAAGTGATTCATAATTTCGTTGGATTTATCGACTGTTTTTAAACTCATTTCAATGCCAACATTTCAAAGGGGCGTAATTGCTTTTGTAAACAATGGCTTTAGCCGTCGATTTCTCGCAAATAAAAGCTCACTCCTCCTAATTAACAATGATAGCTGGTAGAGGAATCATTCCTATACCTATTGGTGTAATTAATTTTCATAAGTGAGCTTTTATTTGCGAGAAATCGACGGCTTGAACCATTGTTTACAAATGATTTGATGTTCAACCCGGCAATCTTTGCAGCTACAGATATACAGAGAATCGGTGTAATCCATATGTATGAAATGTATACGCGGTCACACATACTTTTTATGTATTCTTATATAGGACCTATGTGGTTTGTCTTATGGAATGTATAAGGCTGATGTTTTGGCAAAAATGTATAAGTGAAACACATGGATAAAATAATTGATTTTCGTTTCGTGTATATATTTGCGAATATTCTAATTATATTTTACCTGTAATTCATCATTAATTTCTCTCTTCAATAGAAAAACAGAACACACGGGAGAGTGAACGGTGATGATTTTGACGTTTCATACAAGTTACTGAGCATCCAGCAAAATATCTCAAATTACTGAACATGCAGCAAGATATAGCTTTGCTGGAAGCCATTCAGCAATTTGTTTTGCTGGAACTCGATTCCAAAATTTGGTGTGAGTTAGCATTGTTATGATATACTTCGTAGAGTGGATACTAGCGACACTCACGTCCCTTCTGAAATTCTCAGTTAGACTACTTTCAGGAATAATGCTGGGGAGTAAACATTATAGTCGCTATATTCATAGTCTGGCGGATAGAATTTCTATCTATCAAAAAGCGGAACCAATTTAATATATTGTAGACCAACAGTTGAAAAGGTACTATCAACTTTTATAAACAAAACGTTGAATATTCTTTCCTCGCCAATCGAAGGTAAATTACCAGCATCATCGGATAGGATAAAAAAAAAATAAAAAATAAAATAGGCGAAACTTTCCACAACCTAAAGATGGTGTTAGTTTGTGTAAGCGAGCCTTGAGTCACGAGAAAACGGTTTTCGAAATTTTGTTCGTAATAGCTGATGTGCTCTTTTTTGTTGTTGGTCGTGATTTGCTCGATTGGTTCCGCTACTTGACAGCTCAATTGGTTCCCGAGGTTCTATCCGCCAGACTATGAATATAGCGACTATAGTAAACATTGGTTCCAATCTAAACAAGAGTAACATAAGCCTGACTGTCGCTATTCCCGGCCACGCCCATATTAACCATAACTAGAGGCCACCGACTTAGCGACACTCTCATTTATGCTACGGAGTTGGAGGGTTGGGTAGGGTATTCGGTTAGGTTTCACCTCAAGTTGGCGATGCAACCAAAAGTATGTATTGTTTATTTAATCTCTCGATAGCCGGCTATCGAAAGAACATACTCAGTAAGCAAAAACGATCCCTCTAGGGTCATACTTAAATCTCAAAAAGATATTCTCACAAATATATTTCACGCAACCAGACGCTATAATGATACTCTGCACATGTTAGACATAAGAAGAGGCCAAAAAGCAAGCGTCCGACACACAAAACCCGCCAAATCCACTTGCAGTCTACGAATCGCAAGCGCTCACAAATCATAAAACCGCTGACTGCGACACTCTGAAAGCGAAATTGACAGGCTCTATGCGTCAAACACCCGCCCTCCAACTCCTCCCGCATCCAACAACACAAACCTCCATTACAACATCTAACGAATTCAAAACTCCGGAAATCACTCATCTATAGCAAGTGAGTGGAAGCAACCCTGCATGCAACCATTCTTCATGATAACTTTTTCTGCCTATCTTTGTATTAGGCCTGTGTACATGTGTTAGCTTCGAAATTTCTAACCAAACTGGGAAAATTTTCAGATAACAAAAAAAAACTTGCAAAAATACTTTCAAAGGTAATTACAAGTAAAATAAATATTGATTATTTTACGCAAAAACGAGCAAGTAATATTAAATCTCTTGTATCGTATGCTAATGCTAATTGACTGTAACAAAAATAAAAATAAAATAAAATATTAATAAAATTATATGCAAAATTTACTAGAAGATCATTACTTCATTGGTGAGAAGTTTCTATTAACGTCTAAAAACGTCAGAAAAAAAAAGTTAATTTGTGAACTACTTAATAAACTTACAAAGAAACAGCGAATCATGGGTTGTTACGATTTCGCTTATTAACGTATAGCTCACTGATTTTAGCGAACCCCTTAGTAAGCGAAATCCGCAGGCGAACAGCACAACACATTTTTATGTGCCCATAGAATATATCCCCGTATGTTTGGCAATCCTTAGAAAACAAGTGTACTAAATTTGCGTGTGCGTGTGCTCGGATTAAGTTTCGCAAAGCGGTCACCCGTGGAGTCCGGTGCTAACAATTCTCGTTTTTCCCTCTTCAATCCCCCATTGCCAGATGTTGCAAAATCTCGAGCAGCACCCGCAGGCGGCGCAGAGTTTCTACCAGACCTACTTCACGGACATCTTGATGCAAATCTTCTCGGTAGTGACGGACACCTCGCATACGGCCAGCCTGCAAAACCACGCAACCATCCTGGCGTACATGTTCTCGCTTGTTGAGGCCGGTCGGATCACGGTCAGCTTGGGACCATCGCCGGACAATGTGCTCAACATCCAGGAGTACGTGGCGACGCTGCTCAAATCCGCCTTCAGTCACCTGACCGACAACCAGATCAAGATCTTCGTCACCGGTTTGTTCAATCTCGATCAGGATGTCCACGCATTTAAGGAGCATTTACGAGACTTTTTGATCCAGATTAAGGTACGATGGTCAGGTTTGGGAATTATTTGGATCTTTCTTAATGTTATTTTTGTATTAATCGAATCAGGAGGTAACGGGCGACGACGACTCCGACCTCTATCTGGAGGAGCGTGAGACGGAACTAAAGAAAGCGCAAGAGGAGAAGAGGCGAATTCTGATGACGGTGCCTGGTATGATAAATCCGCACGAGCTACCGGAAGAGATGCAGGACGAGTAAAATGATGATGAACGGATATAATGAAAGTTGTGATGTGAAATCAATGAACTACTTGTTTGTGGGACATAAAAAAAAAGTGAATAGATCAACGGTGTGGAGCGGTTCAAATTTTGGATTATGCGTTTTCTTTCCCTGGAAAGAATTTATAATTTTAGTTTCATTTGGCAACAACAATAAAAATGGAATAAGTTCAAAGTAATGATTCACTTTTTGTAAATGAGTAGAACTATATACACACACACATTCACCATACACTACAAAACACAATAGATCCACTATACAGAAAATGAAACAAGCCAAAAACATAACCAGCACAATGCAGATAATTAACACAGCCACAGCAGTAGATAGAAAGGTGGAACGGTGTGAATCAGTTGATGAAAAATAGAGTTGTTCAAAAGTGTTGGTCGGTTTGTGTCGATGATCATTATTAACAAAATACACGGTTGCAGCAAAACCAGTTTGCGTGAGGTTTAAATTTTACATGCAGGAACAAAATGGAATCCCATTTGCATTACATTTTACTACTACACTTATTTATAAGATGCAAACAATTTAATAATTATTACTTTCCGGATTGATGCGTGTTGGTATGTACGAAATCTGTTGTTTATTATTATTCACAATATTATTTTTGCGATTACAACTACCCCTTACTCAGTTTTTTTTTTTAACGATAAGAGCGTGATTAGGCTAGCAGCTATGTAGTAGCCGGCGGTAATTAGAAGAGATATATGCTAGGCGATCGTGCGAGAGCGTGTGAGAGCGCGCGCAGAAACGGGGGAGTTAATATACTATTTTTGCATCCATTTTGTTTCGATTTAAAGTTTGCTGAACGGATTGATATCAGAGGAGGCTGAAGGCGAGATTAAAAAGGTACTGCGGATCGAGTTGTCATGGTACGGATTTTATGCTGAACGTAGATTATAAAGTTTATTAGTAAAAAAACACTTACAACACGTGAATCGACAGAGACGTGAGAAAATGAGGAACAAGCAGCACTAATAACTTATAACGAGGTTAGAATTGAATACTAGTAGCGAGTAAATCGTGTAAACGTTTGTAGAGATTTGGTCAGCACATGCGGAAGGAAGCAAACAATTCTATGAATATATAAAATTAGTAGAAGAAGCAGTGCGATTATGAGCTAAGATTTTTTTGTTTCTCCTACGAATAACAAACATTTACAAGATGAAAAAGAAGTAACAAAACTGTATGCGTGTTTGAATGTTTGTTTGTGTGAAATTTAAACTTGGAATACATGAATCACTTGCGGAGGATATAAGGAGGAGCATATGACAGTAGAAACACAGAGAAAACGGATAACATTTTTTCAACAAGTTACAAAAAAAAAAACAAAGCGGTCAAGTTGAAAATTATTTGCGTGAGAGCACATTGTGGAAGAATTTTTGATGCATTACGAATTACCTGCGGAAAATCAAGCGGAGAATAAAGCCAGAATCATTTATTATCTCATGTAGATCATAAAGTTCGATGTACAATTACTAGGTGTTTGGTCGTGGATGACATCCTTTTATTAACATTTCTAGACTAACATTTAAGAAGGGCGTAATTCTACAATCACCACATCGAGAAAAACGCTTGTGAATTTTGGTGACCAAAAACTAAGCCCCATTGAACGCATTAATAGGGTTTGAATAATTTTATAAGTCTTTTAAATTTGTCAAACCTCTTAACGGAATCCCTTTATGAAGAGCTTTGAGTGTGTTGGTTTATTTCCTTTTAATTCCGTTATAATTCTAGATAGAGCTGGAATTAGGGCGTAACAGCTTTTGTAAACAATGACTTCTATCGATGATTTCTAGAAATTCAAGGCTCTCTCACGCAAACCAACATCCTCATCAGGTAGGGAAAGACTTCCCCTATCCGACGGTTGTGTTGGTCTGCGTGGGCGTGCCTTGAGTTCCTAGAAATCATCGATAGAAGTCATTGTTTACAAAAGCTGTTACGCCCTAATTCCAGCTCTATCTAGAATTGCTTATCTCAGATACGCGTATTTCGTCTACCACCTTTTTTTTTGTAAAATATAGTTTATTTTTAGCTAGTAAATAGATATCACATTCAATGTAAAAAATATTATTCTTCTAAATTCAGAAGGAATTCTAGTTCACCTACAATTATTAATATTTGCATTAATATACTTGATGTATTCTATAAACAATTTAAGAACTTAATTTCTTCTGGTTGCTGCAATGTTGCCAAAGATTGGTCGTATCAATTCGGCGAAGGAAAGCCGTTGCCACCCGCCAAGAGTCGTCATTATCCTTCGTTGTACGTGCATCCATGCTGCAGCTATACGAGGGCACTCGCAGAACTTGTGCTGTAGCGTTTCAATAGACACCATGCAGTGCTGACAATTCGAATCATTTGCACGTCCGATAATGTTCATTAGTCTGCGGTGCTCCGTCTTCTCGTTGATTAACGTGTAGAGATCGCTGCGTTGGCACGACGATAATCCTCTGGACGAAATATTTGTCCAGATTTTTTTTTTGTTTCAATTTTGACCTGGCTGGTTCCGTTCCACCCTTGGCAGTTCGGTTTGCACAAGATAGTGGCAATACATTTGATCGCTGGTGAGATTTTGTTGGATTTTAGGTGGAAGCAAAGGAGTCTGCTGAGAAAGCAGTTTGAAACAAGGAAGATCGGCAGGGGGAGGAATATTTTGGGAGAGAAAGGAATGAAATCGATCTCCTGCAGGTGACGGTTGATGAGAAGCGCTTTGCATTTGATCGCCGGCAATTGTAGCTTTAGTCCACCTTTATCTCTGCTACGTGCCAATTGCTGCATTGGAATTCGTGCGGGCAGCCCACGAAACAGGAATGTTCCCATCGTCGCTTTCAGTTTCGCCGTGTGAACACACTGTGGTGGAATTACAGATGAAAGATACCACACCTTCGCTGTAATAAAGGTGTTTAACAAAATCACCTTCTGTTGCAGGGTAAGGTAGCGCATGTTATGCAACCATATAAGTTGCGTTATTCTGGCTACTGAAGTATCCCAGTTTTGCTTCACCATCAGCCGCACTGAGTTGGTGAAAATAACACCCAGAACCTTCACATTTTCCTTCGTCTGCAGTCCTGGTATTACAAGTGGGATTCCATTGACGAATCCAACATCTATAGCTACTGTTTTTTGTCGATTTAATTTTGTACCGGCCACGATCTCAAAACTGTCGAACAGCTGGTAAATACGGTCGATTGTTTGTGTTGCAATCAACGTGATGTCGTCGGCGTATGCAATGCAAAGGTCACCACCACAAACTCGCTCTACCCGTGTGAGGAGGAGATGGAGATAAAGCACGAAAAGCAACATCGACATTGGGTCTCCCTGCCGTACGGATCGCTCTATACGGAACGGCTGTGAAAGACGCCCATTACCCAGCAGACGTGACGAAGACGCAGCAGCGACCCGAGAGTCAGCTGACGAAACCCTGGTTGAAACCCAGAGATAGAAGAGTACGATGCAGGAACTCGTGAGAGACCCGATCGAACGCGTGGTCGAGATCGAAAGAGATCATCTTCCCTTTTGACGTAGGACTACGTCTGTGATTTCTATATGGGGGTACACTTTGTGAAAACCGAAAATGGAACATGTAACAAAATTATGAAAGATTTTGAACGTTAATAACTCAGCTGCCAATGGACCAAATTCAATAATTTTATCACCAATCTATCAGAAATATTTCAACGCATCTTTTAAATTTAAGACATTGATATTTTTCGAAATGTCACTATTGAAAATTGCACGAATGTGCAACTGTTGCTATGCTTATTACAATTATCACCGATTGCATGCGAAAAGCGATTTCCCTAACACAGATTTCAAAATTGAATTCCATCCGGTCTCACCAAACGGTGTTTATTCAATCACCGCGTGACAGTACACAACGAAAGGCTGCCTGCAAGCAGCGAGCTGCAGCCCACATGAGCATCCATAGAAGGAGGAAGAAGCCGCACTGCTATTTATCGGAATCAATAGATCTTCGTGAGTAGCTGTGGGCCATCTATGTCAAGCGCGTCATACTAAAGAGTGTAAACAGAGTGAACTCCGCTGAAATTCCTATTCCTACACAAAACACAAACTCCTGCTGCAGTTAACATTTTTAACATTTATTATGTAAGACCACGTAGTCCTACGTCACCATTGCGTACAACCCCATAGGGCTGTCCCTTGTAGTTTTTGCTTTCTCGCGGTTCGTTGTGCTACACGATGCTTAAGCGAGAGCGTGGCTTGGATCATTTTTGCGCGTCGCTCAGGACTCGATGTGTCCGGAGAATGTGTTCCAGGTGGGTCTTCATGACACGGGAGAGAATTTTGAAGTCGACGGTGAGCAGGCTGATCGGACGGTATGATCTCGCTGTTCCATCACCACCTCTCTTTTTAACTAGTAGGTACGATAGTGTCATCGGCAAATTTCGAATTAGCTCATCCGTCATAGCTTCATTGGTGACGAAGTAGAGCTCTCGATAGATGATGTCGAAAGTTCGATGGTAAAATTCTACCGGTAGACCATCGATACCCGGCGATTTTCGTTTTTGTGACGTTCGGATGGTATTTTTCAATTCGTTGATGCTGATCTCTGCCAGAAGAGCAACGTTAGCTTCGTAGTTCTCGGGTACTGCTCTCTCGGTTTCAAACATCTCCCCAACTTGCCTGGTCTACTCCGCCACATACAAGTTCTTGAAGCATGTGCTGTTCGATCTCCAGCCTTGAATTTGCTCACCTCGCTCGTTCTGCAGCTCTGTGATGATTGTTTTTTTTTTACGTCGTCTATCACCTCACTGGAAGGTAGATATGCTCTCTCCAGCTATGAATGTTTCATTAATCCGAATGAAATTTTGTGCGAAGCGCCGCTGCAGCGTGAGCATTTTCGCTTTCACGCGGTTGATAGTCGTCAACATCTCTGGATTTTGAAAGTAGCCATCATACTCGAGCCTCAATTGCGCGTGGATACGTTGGTATTCAGCGTTAAAGATGCCGAATGCTTCGCTTGACTTCCAGCGGAAAACGATTTAATTTTTGGCTTCGTGTATGAGATCCACCATGCCATCCAGCTGGGGAAATTCCTCCGTTGACGGGTCCAAAACTGCAACCGGACTTGAAAATCGTCGATGCTCGCAAAGCCTATAGCTTACATACATGCGGTTGAGCCTGGATGCCGCATTGTGCGTAACTTATGTATGTGCGGAGGTGGTGGGATATAGCTTCAGCCACAGGCCTTGAAGCTACAGCTGCCGTACGGTCACCTGGAGCGCGGACTTGTGTTTGTACTCGGGGAGTCGCTCGGGCGAAGCACGTAATTAAAATCGCCAGCGAGGACGACGTGTTGTGCCGAAGGTAATATGCGATCTTGCCGTTGAAGAATCTCTCTCTTTCCGCACGAGCAGCTGTCCCCGATGGCGCAGATATTACAGAGAGTCGTGTTTTGCATCCTCAAAGTGATGAGGCGGCCATCCAGCAGAACTGTATCGTAGCCTCTGGGCGATTTAATTTCAGGATGGGACTGATATGCGGTTACTTTGCTTGATGGGACCAGGGCGTCACAATATCAGCTTCAATCGACGAAATCGATGCGACGAGGAGACTGCTGGCTTTCTTTTTCTGTTAAAGTTGAACAGCTTCGCAGCATTCTAGAACCTCAGTCGGCGTGCCCAAACAAATGTTCAATCGCTTGTCTCTCTTTCTCCCGTCGTTCCATTGGTCTTCCTTTCAAGCTTCGGTGAAACACATCAACAGAGGTTTCATGACGTATATGACAGAAAATGAAATTACATATTTAAAGCATTTCTCACGTGAAAACACTTGAAGATTACACGTAATATGTTTAATTTATCTTCCATCCACATATTTATCTAAAAAATTTTTACGAAAACGGGACATAACGCATTTTAAACAAATTGAAAGAGCGGTGATAGAGTGTTCGTGAAAGGAGATTGAAAGCCATAATGAGGTTTCTTTTAACTAGAAAATCGACGTTACTTATAGCGAATTCGTTTATTATTCAGTTCCAACCTGGATCGGGTATCAGGATTGGGTCTGCTTTTTTTCTGACAAACGTCAGTTTGCTCGTTTGTTTTTAAAACCTAGCTCAGGTTGAGGTTCGCACTGACAAAAAGTTCGGTTTCGCACTGGGTTGGAACTGGTTCCAACCCCGATAATAAACGAATTCGCTATTACATTGAATGCGATGAACAAAGCAACGACGAGAAGAACCACAGCCAGCGTTTCCTTCTAAGCGTGCTTCTTTTTCATTATCATTTCTTGCTGATAGTCTAGCTAGGCGTTATAGAAATGAAACGTTGACCACGTTTGTATGAGAGAAACAAAACTCGAGTTCATTTTAGAGCTTCGAAAATGTAGAGCCCTGGATGGGACATACTCACTTGCTGTTGTTTTCACATTTGGCATGATTAAAGTCCATAGTTTTATCATGTAATATGAAAGTAGATGCCAATTGATAGTGGATAGCGTTATTATCTTAAAATTGACGAAAATCCATATGGGACTGATATGCGATTATAGGCAGTGCAGACTTCATCAGTGCCAAGTACTCAAGCAAGTACACTTGGCATTGATGAAGTCTGCAAGTAGTAGACGAAATACGCGTATCTGTCAAAAGATAAGCAATTATAACGGAATTAAAAGCAAATAAACCAACACACTCAAAGTTCTTCACAATTTTAGAAACTTTAATTAGAGCATAAATTAGCTTGCAACACTAAAGGCTAAAAAAGTGATTTTTGCCGTGACATTGAGAAAAAAATATCTTTTTGTGCAAATGTCCACTACGTGCGGTACTACCTGTGAAACTCTATTGTTAACTCCCAGGAATCACCCAGCGCCAGAGCTCTGCGGAACACGTCTTACGGTCTTACCTCGGGGACGCTGATGAAGGAAAAGCCAAGAGCGATGGTGGTGGCTCTGATGGTTCATACGTACTCTGTGTAGAGTTCACACGCACACTCTCATTAAGCTATTTGTAGGGCTGGTTCGCCTTGCTTAAGCTCATGCTATACTGAGGTGTATCGAGCACCCACACAGTGCGACACATCAAACTTCATTATTTTACAAAATTCGGCCGGTAATGGCCTTATTGATAATCCACGGTCACACAAGCCCTCCCGGGCATGTTCTAGTGGCCTAAAAAATGTTACGGAAAAAAGCCAATTCTCGACAAGAAACAAAACCCGTCGTGCGACATATCAAACTTTATGAATTCCAAATTTACCTGTTCACCTTTTACCATTGGATGGCTTGATCATATTACTTATTATGATCATCCTAACCTATCGCAACCCAACTTAACTACACCCACATTCTTCATAGCATCACCGGCTTACCGACATACGCCTATATAGGTAACGGTTTGTCATCTAAATAAATAAATCAAGTACATTGCTCGGCATAGTCCAACTTCAATTGGAATTTTCTTCTTCTTTCTTTATAAACGGATAACAAAATACATGGAAAATCAATTAGACGTCAGCCCGCATTTGTGTATCCGACAGCTGAATCTTTTCGCCTGGTCTGAACGCAGGCATTCCAAGATAGGGACATGTGGCGCAACGGAATGCATCTCCCAGGTAGCACTGGAAATAAAATCATATTATTCGCTCTAGAAAACTAACCCCACTGAGTAATCCTTACGCTTCCACACGATGATTTTGATTCACTGTTCTGCATGGTTGCACCTTTAGTTTCCGACTCAAGTTCCTCGGCAAGACCACATGAGCAATCTTTACAAGCTTTGCGCTTACCGGTCGTACCACACACTGAAATACAAAACACGCATCACAAATAGAACAATACTCTGCGATTGCTGTTTCAAGTACCTCTCAAGGACTCAGCCGATGGTTTCACCTTGTCTTCTTCGTCCAGAAGCTCGTCGGCATCGATGCGTTCATCTTCATCATCGACATCTAGCTTCCAAACCGCGGCTGCCTTGGCTTTGTTTCCTGCCAACGAAAGCTTTGCCGCCGATCCAATTTCGTAGTTTGGCTTTTCTGCGACAAAAACTGAAGAAAAAAAAAAACGATTTAATGTAATCGACTGATAGCGACCCATCGATTTACGTGAGGTGATAACAATACAAACCATTGCCCTCCAGTGATGCTATGTTGATAAAGCCAGACAGCAGCAAATTGGAACGGGTCACATCGGTATTGGCTGAGTCATCTTTGAAGACTACCTTTCCCTTTGGCTTCACCAGCTTGAGCAAATGTGAGGCCACTTCTGCACTACCGGAAGCAACATTCGCTAGAATTACGTCAAACTGGGACTGGCCGTAACCCGCTGTAAGAGAACAGCGTTAAAATTATTGTAACGCATTGAAATTACAATCTAGGTACTAAAGCAATGAAAAATCATACCAAGTTGAACACGATCAGCATTTTCTACGTTGACCGTGACATTGGGAACGGTTTTCAGTTGGTTTACTTCCTGTTCTACGTCGGCACTAATAGTTCCACTCCAAATGTATAATACGTTACTATTTTCCTGCACAAAATTCATGATTTCACGAACAGAAAATTGATAGAATGATTAAAATAATTAACTGCGAACTATCATAAGCTGGATTCTATCTCGAACTTAAGGCCCAAACGCAATGTGGGCGGAAGCGGAACGGAAACGGAAAGTTTGACAGTTGTCACAAATGACATCAAGGTGCCTAACCGAAGTCGATTTGGTTCTAACTATAGTTTTCAATCCGACAAGTAAGCTTATTCAGATCGGGCTTTTCCGCTGCCGCTGCCGTTCCGCTTCCGCTGTCATTGCGTTTGACCCTTTAATCGTCACACCAGTGATTGTCAAAATGATAAACAAATAATGACGTTGAACGATTATTGCAGGGCTGCTTTATGGTAGAACCATGGTGGGTATATTCATGGTGATACAGCTTTGTCACAATATCACAGATCGCGGGTGGGGGGGAGTGCGTTTTTGAGTGGACCCCACAAGATTGCTTTTATTGACAATAATCGTTTTGTCAATACATTCTATATTGACGTTACATCGGTATTGACAATATTTCTATGCTTCAAAATAATTCAAGCTGAACATTGCATTAGGTCCTACACCTAGTCCTACACACAAAAAATAATCGTTAATAAATTTATAAAAACCATTGGTAAAATTAAAAGTTAGCGTATTGGTTCTTTTTGGTAGAAAGTAATTAGCATTCAAAACTAATGTCCCCTAACTGTCAATTCAAAAGTAGCTCTCTTTCTACTTTTAAAAGTTGAAACTTTCAAATCGAATTGTAGAACTGTCAAACTGAAAACCTTTAGTTTTTAAATTGACTTATAACAAAATTAATTCAAATAATCGATCATGATGACGCGATGACGATCACCTGCATTAGCGGTGGCGTACCACTTTTTGGGAACCGATTCCAGTTCGAAAGAGATACCAACGGAAGAGTAATGTGGAAACGTAGAAGGCACAATAATATGGTTTATTTTTCACACTTTCAATTTTAGCGGCTAACGAAGGTCAAGTGATGCCAAAATCTTCGCAATGACGAGGAAAATTTGAAAGTTCGCGACTTTTATAAAAAAAAAATTAACTTTTGAAATTACAAGATGAAATTAAAAGAAACACTTTTAATAAAAAAAAATATATTTTCATTTTGAATATTTTCGTTGCTTAAAACTACGAAATTTGAGAAACTTTTAAATTGATGTTGCATTATTATTATATTATTATATATATTTGCATAGGAACAATTTTTGTTCTTTGTGTGTAAGAAACATTGACCGATTCTCTTCGTCGACTTTCTCTTTGTACGCCCACGACCATGTAAAGACATTCCCAGGTATTTTCAGCTCACAGATCGATAAAAGAAGCTTTTACCTAGCATCTAATACGACAAACACAACAAAAAAGATTATGTGCTCAACAACACAACAAAAAAGTTATTAACGAAAGAGAAAGTTGACGAAGAGAATCGATCAATGTTACTTAGGACCTAATGCAATGTTCAGCTTGAATTGTCAATAATTAGGTTTTGCACCGTCGGGGTTAACCTCAATCTGATGACAGTTCAGTGGTACTGTTTACGTGGACTTAGTCGATTTTTATTGGGTGGATTTTCTCGATAATTTTTCAGACTGCAGTGAGATGCAAACCACACTTCTGCAATGTCCACGAGCAACATCCTTTCATCGCGCTGTTCCTCGACAATTTTCAAGTTAAAATTCGGAATATTTTTTTTTTCGAAAAAACGACTAAGGCTCTGAACCATTTGGTGGATTATTTTAACTTTTGGTTAAAATTTGACAGATGGAAAGTTATCGATGAACCCTGCTATCCGAGCATGCCCGCATAAACGCGAACCATCACATGACCTTACCGATAATGGTTATAAATTGTTTATAATCCCTGCTAAACTTCAACTGAAATGGTTATGGAACTTTACATGAACGTTTAATGATAAAGTTTTAACCTTAAGTATTATAGTTTTTTGGAAGTGGACCTTACAAATAATGGGTTGTTAAGAACCATTACCATTCAAAATTCTTGTTTTCTCCATACATTTTCGGAAAGAGAACTATATTAGAACGTTTTTACTTATGGTTTGAGAACATTAATGGTTATGGTTATGGTAGTCAGTAAGGTCCATTAATGGTTTTGTATTATCGCTCAACTTTACGTGAAATATATCGTGAATTGGTAATCAGTAATTTACAGGCAACCAATTCGCGATATATTCCACATAAAGTTGATCGATGTTACAAAACCATTCATGGACCTTACTGGTTACCATAACCATTACCATTAATGTTCTCAAACCATAAGTTAAAAGGTTTTAGTATAGTTTTCTTTCCGAAAATGTATGGAGAAAACAAGAATTTTGAATGGTAATGGTTCTTAACAACCCATTATTTGTAAGGTCCACTTCCAAAAAACTATAATACTTAAGGTTAAAACTTTATCATTAAACGTTCATGTAAAGTTCCATAACCATTTCAGTTGAAGTTTAGCAGGGATTATAAACAATTTATAACCATTATCGGTAAGGTCAATTTATGGTTCGCGCTTATGCGGGTGGTTATTTCGGACAGACAAGAAGTTAAATTTTGACAACGATGGGTCGAAAACCGGTCGATCGACAACACGGGGATTTTCGAACATAGAAAATAACTTTCAAAATGTCACTTTTAACCACGAGTTAATTTTAACTCGGCAAATGGTTCACAGCCTTAGTGCTTGTAAACAGTACCACTGAACTGTCAAAAAGGTTCAGCCGATAAACACTGAGTTCATTCGGGACGTCACGCTGCAGTACCTAATTAGGTTTTGCACCGTCGAGGTTAACCTCAATCTGATGACAGTTCAGTGGTACTGTTTACGTGGACTTAGTCGATTTTTTCTTGGGTGGATTTTCTCGATAATTTTTCAGACTGCAGTGAGATGTAAACCACACTTCTGCATTGTCCACGAGCAACATCCTTTCACCGCGCTGTTCCTCGACAATTTTCAAGTTAAAACTCGGAAATTTTAGAATTTGTTTTTTCGAAAAAACGACTAAGTGCTTGTAAACAGTACCACTGAACTGTCAAAAAGGTTCAGCCGTTTAACACTGAGTTCATTTGTGACGTCACGCTGCAGAACCTAATTAGGTTTTGCACCGTCGGGGTTAACCTCAATCTGATGACAGTTTAGTGGTACTGTTTACGTGGACTTAGCCGATTTTTTTCTTGGGTGGATTTTCTCGATAATTTTTCAGACTGCAGTGAGATGTAAACCACATTTCTGCAATGTTCACGAGCAACATCCTTGCAATGCGCTGTTCCTCGACAATTTTCAAGTTAAAATTCGGAAATTTTAGAATTTTTTTTTTCGAAAAAACGACTAAGTGCTTGTAAACAGTACCACTGAACTGTCAAAAAGGTTCAGCCGATTAACACTGAGTTCATTCGTGACGTCACGCTGCAGAACCTAATTAGGTACTGCAGCGTGACGTCACGAATGAACTCAGTGTTAATAGGCTGAACCTTTTTGACAGTTCAGTGGTACTGTTTACAAGCACTTAGTCGTTTTTTCGAAAAAAAAAATTCTAAAATTTCCGAATTTTAACTTGAAAATTGTCGAGGAACAGCGCGTTGCAAGGATTACGCTCGTGAACATTGCAGAAATGTGGTTTACATCTCCCCGAATAGAAATTTACATTAGCCCAACGTTTGATTTTGATGTCTACATCAGCATCAAAATCAAATGTATGCCTGATGTCAAACATTAGGAAACATTATGATTTAGATGTATTTAAGCAACGTAACATGATGTATACATCAGAAATTTTGGAACAAAATTTTGCCATTCTAATGTCGGTCTGACGTCAAAAATTTCAATCTATTGACATTAGAACCAAACGTTTTAAGGATGTTTTCAGATGTACAAAACGTTAGAACTAAACGTTGTTCGGATGTTTTTAAATGTAAACGTTTTCTGATGTTTTCTAATGTAGATGTTTCCTGATGTTAGAAACAAACGTTTTTGGATGTTTTCAGATGTAAAAAACGTTATAACTAAACGTTTTTCGGATGTTTTTATATGTAAACGTTTTCTGATGTTTTCTAATGTAAAGGTTTCCTGATGTTAGAATCAAACGTTTTTGAGTTGTTTTCGGATGTAAAAAACGTTAGAACTAAACGTTGTTCGAATGTTTTTATATGTAAATGTATTCTGATGTTTTCTAACGTAGATGCCTCCCGATGCTGGAACCAAACTTTTTTTTTGATGTTTTCGGATGTACACAACGTTAGAACTAAACGTTGTTCGGATGTTTTTAATTGTACTTCGTGTTTGTTGTTCTCTGATGTTTTCAGATGTACAAAACGTTTAAAGTAAACGTTGTTTGAATGTTTTCAAATGTAGATGTTTACTAATGTTTTTAGATATGCAAAACACTAGAATCTTACTTTTCAAATGCTTTCAATTATATTTACAACACATTAGAATTAGAAACATGATCGTGTAAACACTACACACCATTGTTGTTAGATAACATAATAAAAATGCGTACATAACAGTCAATGCTGAAGCTCCCGTTTCCCACCAGTCAGTTAACTGACCTTAGCTAACCTAATATCATTGCGGCAACTCTCTATGCGGCAGGGGAACTATGCCATTAGCGCGCTAAGAGTTATTAGACCACTGACATAGGCGCCAATTTGTAGGTGACGAGGCACTTGGTGACATTACAGCGAGCTTGACGATTGTTGCAGCATTTTTTTAGCAAACTACCAGTTAAGGTGTGTAGTGTTTACAAGATCATGTTTCTAGCTCTAATGTTTTGTACAATTGAAAGCATTGGAAAAGTTAATTCTCATGTTTTGCATAACCAAAACCATCAGAAAACATAAAATAGTACAAAAAAAATCATCCATTCTGGTAGACTATCTCTTAAATGCACACAGAATAGCCATTGCTTAAGCTCCCGTTTCCCACCAGTCAGTTAACTGACCTTAGCTAACCTAATATCATTGTGGCAACTCTCTATGCGGCAGGGGAACTATGCCATTAGCGCGCTAAGAGTTGTTAGACCACTGACATAGGCGCCTA